AGCTTTCTATATAACCAACTCGTCCTCCTCCTCACACGCCCACTCAGCCGCATAATCCATAACGTTTTTGTTTCGCCCGCCACGCCGATGCTTCTGTCGTGTTTAAAAGTACAGGACGTCCTAGACGCTCCCAGCGGCTCGATGGTCGCAAGTCGGTTTAACTGGCAGTCCCTCCGTAAAATCACTGCAAGCTAACTCGCCAATTAATTTGGGGAATTGAGGTCAGGAAGGTCAAGGAAATGGAGGAAGAACACAATATGGTTTGTCTTCTGCAGAACAGGTTTACTCATGTTTTAATATCCCTTTGTTTAGTCTGAAAGCTCTGACCTTCGTGCTAATTTGACTTTGAATAACATCAAAGCTCATTTAGTATTTAGTGGACATGCGCGAGAGTGGTGTCAATCTTCTCATCGAACTCTCAGTAAGAAAGCAAGTCGCCTTTTTCTTCTCCTCCGAAGCGTCAAACTGTGACATCTGGCTAAAATCGATTTACATAACTCAGTCATGTTGCATTTTAGTTTTCATCCATGTGCATTCTTTATCGCTTCGATACACTTGGGCAAAACAAAGAATTAAAAGCTCAACTGCAACACGATAATGATGATTCTTATTATTATTAGTCTTATAAATCCTTTCAGTTGAGGCGCTGATGACAGACGCCACAGCAAGAGTATGAACCATTAGGAGGAAAATAATTATTAGGGCAGGTATTTTCTTGGTGTGATTGCAGGGTCATTATGCTCTCCCTAATGAAACAAGCCAGCGGAGAGCCTCCATCTCGGCTGTAGCCTTTATCAACGCCCTTCAGAGGATATAAAAAGGAAAACACTTCAGCAGAAGCCTAATTAAAACCAGAGAGGTCTGGATGAGGAGGCCAAACAACCCACACAGGTGGCACGCATGTCACCACGTGTGTGTTTGTGTGCGTGAGCTACAGTAGCGCATCATGTTTATGCATGTCTGCGTGAGTGTGTGTGTGTGTGTGTAAGGCAGCAATTCATGTTTATTTTTCCTTTTATTTGTGTGTTTTTGTCAGCGTGGTACATCTGTGTGTGTGTGTGGCAGCAAAGGACAATGTTAGAGTGTGTGTGTGTGTGTGTGTGTGTGTCGGAGGTGTACGATTGTTAGAGAGGCTTTCCATTCATTTTAATGGCTTCAGCTGTCGCTTCATTCCTGCCGCCTGCACCGCTGCCAGGAAGGACCGAGCAAGCTTTCATGTGACAGGACCCTGCTCAAATAGGCCATTGGTGCACCATAATTAGTTCAAATGTCGAAGCCAGTGAATTATTGATGATCGGGGACGAGTAGGGAGGAAGACATTTCATATCAACAGTTTTTTGGTTTTTTTTTCGGTAGCCGTCTCTTTTTAAAGGACAGCTGGTTACCACCACAAACATGAATCTCTGGTGTTCGGGCCGCGAGAGGACGCGTTTGCATCGGGGCGGAGAAAATAAACTGGGGTAGTAAAGGGAATAATTAGAGGGAAACCGTGAAATAATGTCTTGTTTTCACGGAGAACAGCTGGCTAAAGAGAGCACCACAGCTCTTTTTTTTTTTTCCTCCACCATGTGAAACAGGGATACCTTAGTACTGGTCTGAAACAAAAAGTAAACCACCAAGACGGAGGCTAATTTATGCTGCTGCCAATCATTGGATATAATTGCGTTACCATGGCATAATGGCAGCTCAGGCCCAGTCACTTTCCCCCTCCGGCTCTCTCTCAGGTACTTACAGGGTTTCCATCAGCTCCTGATTTTTCGAGAGGGACCTCTCAGACAGGAATGCCAATGGACTTTCAATGGCTTCTAATCATGCCACTTCTACCGCACAATTCCCTGGCCGTCATTTGCATTAAGACTCATATGGCCACAAGTGCACCCGTATGCTGCTCGTGCGCGTGCCATTTCCTGGTTGTCGCCCTCTCTCCGAGCCAATCCGCCCGTCCGACGGTTATTTGACTGTTAATTAGGTGAATCAAATCCTGCGAGCCCCCCCCACACACACACACATATATATGATTATTGTGACATTCAACACTGCGTCTTGTTTGCTCTCAAAAAAAAATAAGAATCCTCCCAAAAGCAGAGACAACGATGCTGGATGTTTGTGTTGCTGCTGTTCTGCCTTATTGGTGGTACAAGGCCAAAGGTAATACTGCCATCTACTGGACAGGAGGCGGTTAAACAGCCATGTATGCATGAAGAAGGATTTATTGCCATACACAACCTGCAATTCTGACAAATTAGCTCATTTTTATTCTTGTCCCGACTAAATAAATTGAAATGATGCAGTCACCTTTTTGCATTCGGGATGACATCAAAAAGACGCTCTGTGATTCGTCTTTTAAAAGTGCAACTTAACCATCCGTTTGACTTTTTCATTTTGCTGCTGAAACGATCATAATGGTGATAATGGTCTTGTGTCCGGGACGCTTGCACGTGTTCCCGTCTTTTTCAGTTGTAATTAGAGCTTGGATGGCGGTTTTCCTTTCAGATGGCTCTTAATTCTGGGATTTGTTGCTCACAAAAAAAAGAGAAAAGAGAAAGCCTCTCTCGCTCATATCTCTTCCCTTTCTGCAGATTTATCGAGCAGTAGGCGTCTCTTATTCAGCCCGAGAGGTTGCCGAAAATAAATCATCACCCTCCCACCAGCGCGCGAGAATGTCCAGATGGTTGAGTTTTCACTGACGCGCTGCCCGCTGAATTTCCCCATTGTCTTCCACGCTAAAATTAGAAAGGTAATACTCGGTGAAAGCGCTGCGTCTGCTCTGAGGGTGCTGGTTAATTATCAGGAACTTAGATTTATGCTTCCACCCACGGACGAGCCATCCGCGCTGCATTGTGGGAGAGCGCCAAAGTCCAAAGCTTGAACCTTGAGAGCCCCCGTGAGGGGGTTTCTGTTGGAGGCACTGAATGGCAGGTTTCACTGACGAACACTCTTTACCGGCAAGAACAAAAGAAAAAAACAGCCCTCAAGGTAGTTTAGCTACTAAAAGAAAAAGACACAAAAGCATCCGCAGATGTGAAAAAGCCCAAACTAATTTAAATATTCTGCTCATGCGGTGGTTCAACTTGTGTTTCCAATCACGCCTCATTACTCCCATTAACATTACCAATTCAGCAGCACAACTGCTAATCACCTCAGCACTCCGTTTTAAACACAGCCCGTACAGAAAGATGTCATAAGTATTGTTCTGTGAGCAGCCCGCAACATAATCAAGTAATCAATCCACTGCGTGGAAGCAGAGAGGAGGCAGGCAGTGGGCATTGTGCGCTCCGGTTATTCTTGATGTGAATTTTCTTTGGCGGCGTTTGACAAAGTGACTGTTTTATCTTCACATGCAGCGAGGGGCTTATAGTCAATGGGGAATAAATCCAATGTTATGCGGCTGGGATTAAACCATCTGCATGATTTGGCACTTTTCTCTTTTTGCATGCTATATGTGCTTTCAGGGCCAAAATTAGCGGCTTAAGATTTTAATTTTTTTTTTTGCAATGAGGTCCGTTTTTTAAGATGGAGAGTGAAACATGAGTCCAGGCGATCCCAAGTATTTCATGTTGACCGTGGAAGAGTCAATGTATATTTTCACTAAAGGTCCACTTACAAGCTACTGCCAGAGCTTTCAACCACTCATTGTCTTCCTCAGTTTGTTTAGATGTTTTGTTATCTCATGTTTTATTTTTTTGAATATTCTCCAACGTTATCTTTCTGAGGAAGACAAGCGAGTTGCGGTTGAAAGCCTTGGAAAAAGCGAGTAAGTGGACCTGGGCTAAGTCTTTGTCTTTTGATTAGACGAACGTCAGACAAGTAGTCGGTAACGAATCATTTCTCAGCTATTTTAAGCAAAAATATCATTGGGTTCGACGAAACGAGACATTTGAATTTGTCACCATGGGGTCTGAACTTATGTTTAACTACTTGACAACATGTTAAGGAATAAACAATTGAGAAATGAGTTGGTTGATCATTGTTAAAAAGTTCTGTTATGTTCAACGTCGCTTTACAGAATTGTTTATCCTTTGAAACCAAACAATCAAAAAAACAGCAAAAGATAAATCCATATTTCACGTCAGACGCTTCAGAAAATCGCTGTGATGTGTAAAAATGACTTTCACACCTTTTATTTGGGCTCAATACACAAATCGAGGACATGTTCATCAATACAGAGTCTGCTTTAGATCTCAAGATACACTGAATGAAAAGTCTGGACCGATGCAATAAACCCACAGGTTGAACTCTGAACTACAGTCCTATATACACAATCGTACTTTAGAGATCTGTATTTTCTGATAGTTAATAACATGTATCATACTGTATAGCCATTGACGAGGTACAATCACGAGGCCTTTTCGCAAATTTGAGCCGATATATCTGTAATGCACTTTCACAGCAGATGTAACGTAAACTTCATTGGTAGCTCTGTAAAGAGTCTGCGCATTAAGTTCAGGTGCGGCCTTGGAAGTCCCGATAGACAGCGAACAGACAGCGAATGGGGTTGGCCTCACATTTAGTTTTTTTAACTATTGATGCCCTCTTTGAAATGGAAGCAGACCGCGTTTCCTAAGACGGACGAGGTCACGCATCTCCACGGATACAGGTAATAAAACCCAAACAGAGGAAGATTCGTTCTTATATCAAAAAAGTTCAAGACCTGAGATTTTCAGTGGAACAAAATGTCTCAACATACAAAAAAAAAAAAAACTTCATGTAAACTGTCACGACGGCTGCGAACACTAGCTCTGCCTTCCCTTTTGTGTGACTTCAAACATGCACATTAAAATCATAAAGTCAGCTAAAAGAATGTTTAAAACCTCATTATTTCAGCCGCGTTCTTAAAACTTATTTTTGTTGTTGCAAGCTAGTAGTACACAGACCTGTGCATATCATTTTACTTCTTTTTCTTTTGACAGCTTAACGAGAATCCTCAATCAGTGTGTGGACACGACTGAGGGCGACGCAGCAATTGCGATAACTTAAGACAAATAAATTTCTTTTAAAATTCTTTTAAACATGGTAATACCTTATTCTAGACAACACCGCGGGACTCTCCGAGGGTTACAAGTTCATTCCTTGGGCACTTAGTAAAGAGTCCAGCATGTCGAAAGTGTCTTTGTAGTCGGTGTGTTCGCCGTTGGGGGGCAGCACGCCGTTGCTCCCGTCGTGGCCGTGGTGCTCCATCGTCCGCTGGCCGCTCTCCGCAGAGTAGTGGGACGAGCCGAGGCCTCCTTTGCTCCTGCTGCTCTTGGACGAGTGGTGGTGGTGGTGGTGGTGGTTGTTGTGATTGTGGCTGCCGGCGTCCGAGTGAGGCCTCTTGCGAGACGAGCCGGACGAGCCCACGTCGGGAGCCCTTATAGACAAGGAGGCGTTCTCTATTGTCCCTCTGCTGTTCCCGCTGAGGGAGTACGGGTGCGAGTGGCTGTGTTTGGAGTGGCGGTGCTCTTTGTGCTTGTCCTTGCCGGGCAGAGTCCCGCCCTGCTCCGAGCCCCCGTGGCGCTCCGACGAAACCTTGATCCTCATCTTGAGCTCCTCGCCCGCGGCGGAGCCGTTCTCGGCGAAGGACGGAGGCAGCCGGGCCTTTTTGGAGCCGCTTTTGTCTCTCCTGCCGTCGCCCGCGTGGCCCCCCTGCTGCGCCTGAGAGCGCTTCTTGTGGTGGTGCGAGGAGAGCGCCGGCGGGGCCACGTACGCGTCCGTTCCCGGCTCGTCCTTCGCGCCGTTCTGCGGGGCCGGGTCCCCTGCCGCCGCGTGTTTCTCCCTGTACTTTTCCAGAGTCAAGACTTTCTGCGGCCGCGGAAAAGTGGCGGCGTTGGCGGCAAGCTGCTGGTGTTTGCCGCCTTTTGTGTTCGTGGGTTCGTGTTTCACCAGCGGGAAGTCCGAGAGGTGCGGCTCGGAGAAGCTGTCGTAGCCGCAGCTCTTCAACTGGTCGCTCAGTGGCTGGTAGGAGGCGGCAATGATGTTGAGGGAGGGCATGTCCGAGGAGTCAGACGAGGTGGAGGGGAAGTAGGAGTTGGTGACGCCAGGGAGGCCGTCTAAGGACGTCCCCTGGTAGGCACTATCCCCCGACTGGCCGTCCGTCTTTGGCTTCTTAGCTGCTTGAATAGCCTAAAAAAAAAAACAAAAAAAAAACAAAACACAGAACTCAACATGAGATACGGACACTTTACTGGTCCTCACCTGTTCCAGTGACACTGCCTGAACTGCCCTCGTACAAGTATTAAGGACGTACCCTCCAGTTTCGTATCCTCTTCAGTTTGCTGGGCGTCTTTTCCAGGATCTGAAGAAACTCGTGTGTGAGCTCTGAAAACAATGACAACTGTCAGCGGCCCCCTCTCCACACTGTTAACGCTTCCCTCTGATTCTTTCTGCTGATAAGGGCCGTGGCTGAGACTGTTACACTTTGGCTACATACGATGAGGCAATGTCGGCAGGGGAGACCAGGGACTGAGTACAAAAGCAGTCCCGTAAAGACCCAGCGGCAGCAAGACAAATGAAAAACTTCAGGATTGATTTTGGGGAAAACAGCTTGTTATTAGGAAAGTGACAACACCCATAGTCTCCCCCCCACCTAAAAGAGCCTCAAGCTCTTTCTACGAGCAAGAAAAACGAGTCCAAGAGACGGATTAAACCAGCTCTCACCGTCCAGCAGCTGCAGCGTCACGGTGCGGTCCACGTACTCCCACCAGTGCTTGCTGTCCGTGGACACCGGGATCTCCCAGTTGGACCACTTGCAGGCCAGGTGGATGCAGACGCACGCGACGACCGTGGGCCTGTACTGCAGGCAGAAGGTAGTGAGATGCAAACTGCAGGGGGGGGGGGACAAGAAGCAGAAGAGAAATATACGACCGTCAGCTGGAGGCCTTTCACACAACACACACAATAAACATTTTAGACGGTTTAACGAGGCAGCATAAGCACACCAGATGCACACCGACAATCAAACTAATATTATTCTCACATCACACACACACACACACACACAGCCTTACCTTATAGCACAGGAACAGATAAGACAATCTAATTGTTACCTTCCTAAGTGTATGAATCTCTCACACTCACTCACTCACACACACACACACACACGCACACGCGTGTGTTCATATGATTCATCACGCGTGTGTGTTCATATGATTCATCACGCGTGTGCGTTCATATGAACACACGCATGTGTGCATATGATTCATATGAACACACACACGTGTGTGTGCATATGATTCATATGAACACACACGTGTGTGTG